GCAACAACAACGCAACAGCAACAAACGTATATTTCGCTTCAAGGTCATAGTTATGACATATTGAAGGTACAAATGGAGATGTATGGTGACACGAGGCAGGAGTCTTTACATTTAACTGCAACACACTCATATATTTAATTAAGCATCTTGAGGATTTCTTTTACAAACTGTGCCAGTTTTCTTTGATCTGATAAACTTTCAGTATTGAGTAACATATCAAGTAGTATCGAACTAGGTCTTGTAAAATACTTCTTTTGAAGATATAACTCACGGAAGTTATGCAGAAAAGGACATATTAGTAGATAGTGATATTCATCAGCTAATATCTGATGTCTTCCCGCGGTGTATTTTCCCATCAACCCTTTTCTATTGGTAATCTATCTTATTTTAGTAATCGGGATACTGAGTCTTCAGGGTAGCGACAGCAGATAATTTTCTAACTGGAGTTTATGTTTAAATATTCGGTAAAATACTGCCTTGGGTGAGTTGTTTACATAACTTGTCCACGTCTGGCTAATTCCGATCAAAGATAGTTGTTTAATAACACATTTTAATCCGTTTATATTTGGCATGAATTGTTGGGTCCGTATAAAACTAAGGCCCAATCCATCGAATAGTCTTTTAACATATTCGAGCCAGCTGTATTTATGGTTACAGGAGTCTGCAAATAATACATTATACATAACAGTACACAATTTCGTTGGTTTATTATAAGTTATCTTAGACCAATATTTCAACATTCTTTGTTTAATTAAATCCGTTATAGGGGTTATTCCCAGCTCTCCATATAAAAAATAGTGTGGTGTGCTTATTTTTACCCTTAGTATATATATTAAGAAATCTGTGTGAACCTTTTCTATCATATCTAGTTTACCAAATCCCCAAATTTCGGAACCATATGTTAATATAGGCACGATTGTTTGATCAAATAATAATAGCTGGCAGTCTATTGGCAAGTCAAGATTACGTATTCTAATATATAATACGTGCATAGCTTTTCTAGCTTGAGCTACTAACAACATCTTGGCTGCTAGGAAATTTCCATTTCGTTTAAAAACCAGACCCAAGTACTTATATTGATCTACTACTTCAATAACATTATCGCCTATCCTTAACACATTATTGTTCTTTCTTTATCAAAATACAACCACCTTAGTTTTATTAATATTCAACTTCCATTGTTTTCAATATTCATAAAAAAGCATTAATATTATTTTTCTCTAAGGTCACAGGGGTTTTAATAGTTTTATCTAACAACTTCATCTTCCGATATAACATCAATACCTTTACATATTTTCTGTTTTAGATATTCTTCAAGGTCATTTAGGTACAGGGCAAAGAGAATTGGCGATAGATTTTCCCCCTGTCTAACTCCGATATTACTAGAGGAAAACGATGAATTTTCACACGACTTTATGCCTTGATACATGTTAAATATGATCTCGAAACGTTTACCTTGTACATTTGTTTTTATTACTTTTTGCTAGAGTCCAAAGCACCAAACGTTATCGAAGGCCTTAGAGAAATCTATAAATGTACAATACAGTTTCTTTTTGTGTGCCCTAAGGTATTCAATGAGGGAGTGCAATACGAACATGTTATCAACAGTAGAATATCCGTGTCGAAATCCTCCCAGAGATTCTGATAACAAATTATTATTTTCTAGATAATTATTAATTCTTTCACTTAAAATAGAAGTAAAGGGCAGATGACCACGGAGTACGCTGATCACTGTGTCGGATTAACGAGACTGATTAATGAGTGATTTCGGTAATTCGTTGCAAATTAGGTGTGTCGGAGTCGGAATGCAAGACTGTCGGACTAACGGGTCTAAATAGCATTGATTTAATCGGTTCCCATCATTAGTGTCGGATAAAGCCGATTGTCGGATTAACGAGACTTGATTGTTGTATGGCAGTTTGATTGATGAAGCATCGAACAGACTATACGTTTTTTATTGGAAGTTCCAAGACAGAGACATTTCTTCTGACTGCAAAGTTTTCAAAGAGCAGTACATCGAGAATGTTCTTCACATAACGTGTGTCGAACATGTCTAGGTGAGGCAACTTGAGTGGACAATACTTTAAGCCAACTTGTGAAATCATTTGAAAAGACTGTTATTTGTTTTATATCAATCAAATGGAACCGAAGACGATTTGCTCTGTGTATTTGCTTTCATTGGTGATAAAGCAATTAAGTCAATGTTCCTATTAACTTTAACCAGAAATGCCAACCAATTAAAAAAGTAAAGAAAATACAAAGATTGTATATGTCACCAGATCTCCAAAATCACACATGTCTGGCCAGAGCTCGAGTGGCAGGGGGGAAGAGCAGGAGCAGGAGGTCTTGGTGTGGTGTCACGGATGCCAGCGGGAGATTAACTGATGATTACAAGGCCTGTGAATTCAGCAGATTTGTACAGACCCTGATACTGCAGCAATCTAGACTTGACAAATACCATAGACTTGGAAGGGACTGTAACGGATATATTTGTTTCATGATCTGTATGACAGCATGGGTATAACAGGATTATGTCTGATTTATTTGTATCTGAAAGGATATTTATAGCAGAAAACATTCCATTCCCGAAAAAAACCCATCATAATTCATGCATACATATATACAGACAGACAGACATACATACCTGAAAACACAAAGAAATAATGTAATGTATAGAAAATATCAACAGTACAGATTTGATGATATTATACGTAAAATGTCATAGGTTGATCAACAGGAATCTGTTGCTTGACATCATCCATTTGAAACATATGCAATTGATGTTGATGGCTAAATATTTGAGAGGATGTGGTGAAATAATATGTTTTCATTATTGTGGACATTTACATTTTGTGTGGATACTTTTCCAAATAGTAATATTTCTTTCTTTTGTGTGTTTGGTAGAATAAAGTAGGTAGTGTTTTTCCTCATCAATGGTTGAACATGTAGAGCATTGTTTCTGATGTAGTGGGTAGGGTGGCTTTGTAAGTCTTCCAAGTTCTATAGTTAATTTATGGTTACTTCCTCTTAGTTTAGAAAAGTGCACTCGATATTTTCTTATTTTACTGTGACTGAAATAGTATTCTAATTTTATTTCATTTTTAACTGTCCTGAATGTCCTCAGTTTTTTCTTGCGCCTTTTGGGGCATGGTTGGCACAGTCGTCCGAGGCGCAGCAATTCCAATGAGCGTCCCTTGGGCACGCCAGAAATCTATGATCGTGGGTTCGAATCCCTGTTCGCCCCGATTATGTTTCTAGATTTTGTCAGTACGACAACCGTGCTCGTGGGTTTCATCGAAGTGGTTAACGTCTGACACCTGCATCATTTCGGGCTTTCCTCTCTCATGGAACGGGGCGGTCGGGTAGCCTAGTGGTTAAAGCCTTAGTTCGTCACGCCGAAGACCCGGGTTCGATTCCCGACATGAGCACAATGTGTGAAGCCCATTTCTGGTGTCCCCCACCGTGATATTGCTGGAATATTACTAAAAGCGGCGTAAAACCATACTCACTCACTCTCACATGGAACTGACACACCGTGATATAACTGGAATATTGTTCAAAGCGGCGTGAAACCCAACTCACTTGAAGAGCTAGTGGAATTTAGACTTTATTGTCTCTTTGAAAGACTTACATATTTTGTTTTTCTGAGAATAGATTGAGTTGGTATTCCCATCCCAGAACAAGAACTTCACTATGTTGAAGAACCAAAATAGTGATATCATTTCGTAATTTATATTAGTACTGTGTACATAAGAGTATAAAATCCTAGTTCTGCTCGCCTTGCCCAATTGTGTGTTGTTTTGTTGACACCTAACATGGATTTACAACATCTGCGCAGCAGTTTCCGGGGGATTAATTAATGAAAGTTGTTCAGACTAGGGGGATTGCTTCTATTACCCACATTTGGGTAGATTATTGGTAGACTGAAGCTTATGGTAGGACCTAGGCCCTCTTTCAAGGTATGTTTGGCGATATTATTAAGTTTACCGTTTGCTTCAAATGTTATTCATAAATAATTATATCTATCCATAACTAGAATTTTTGCACCAACCACGGTCCAAATATTCGTTTCTTCTATTTTACTTGATTTGCCAAACACTGCAACATTTGTTTTTTCACCTTTAATCTTTAGGTTATTTGTAACACGAAATACTCTTAGACCATCAAATAACTCGTGCAGATTTTTGGGAAGTGGCAAATAATACGAAGTCATCGTCAAACAAATGACAAATGTTTAAAACATTAAGTGTTATTTTTTTATTTTCCTGTTTGATATGTGGTGGACGATCATTGTGGAATATATTAAATAATGTGGAAGACAAAATTCACCCATGTCTTATGCCAATGTTGGATTTAAAGGATTGTGAAATGTCCTCGTAAATTTTCACTTTATAAGAGCTATTTCCTGACTTTTTATTTGAAATAGATGTTTTAGGGGTAGTGCTCTGTCAACTGAATCAAAGGCCTTTTGAAAGTCTACAAAGCAAGTGTATACTTTTTTCTTTTTACTTTTTGTTGAAACTATTAAATAAATATTTTATGAACAAATACATTACTTGATGTTCGGTAGCCCTTTCTTAATCCAGAATGAATATCTTCATTTTACATGATACTTTCTGTGGCAAGTTCCAGATCCTAGAGGAGTTTCCAGGGAGTTAGAGATGTCACAGCAATAACTGGATGACACATTAAGTGCTTCTGTGAGATCCTAAAAGATAAGCACATTTCTTGCATTTGACCTGGTACTATACTACCTGAAACCCGGAATGGGGCCAGCAGTTGACATTATGTAAGACTGAAGTTCCTGGAGTTGACAGGGCTAACTGATAAACAAGGAGCATCCTGCTGCATGATAAGAGTGCTAACACCAGCTAGCTACAGATGTTGGAAACTTAGACCATGGTCAGCCTTTAACAGAACAGAACATATATTTATTCATGAAAATGACTTGGATTTCAGCCCCTCGTCTAACAGATACAAAATATATATATATATTGATAATGGAGGTAGGACACGATTCATATTTACTGTAAGAAGGATTTAATATATTTAGAAATGTATAACAGTTGTGTTTTACAACTTGTTTGTAGCAGGCAAACTAGTTTTAATTCAGATGGCCTTTCCCAATAGTATTTATGTATATATTTAACTCTGATATCTTTATATTTGGGACATATTAATAGAAAATGATACTCATCTTCAAGTACATTAACACTTCTAGCTTGACAATAATCACAGAATCTAAGAGCTTTGATAATGTTGTGATATCGTCCAACTTCTACATACTCAGGGCATCTCACAACAGACTCTCAATAAGACTCTGGTATTTACAGAGCGCTGTGAACTCACAAACAGGGCTATGTAACTTTCAAGACTGGATTATGTCAAAAAAAATATTTCTTGCAAGGTACGTACTATTTTTTTTATTTTCGTGCAAAGTTGAAAGGAAGCAGGATTTGCTTTCAAAATGCCACTTTGGGAAACATGAACATTGTCACGTGTTAGTTTGTAGTTATTTATTGAAATAGAGGCGTTTCTTTTCGTTATGTTCGAGGGTATAATGTGTCCAGGGTTTTGTTTAAAATGGGTTTCAAATGGTTTTCGATTAGTATGTGCTCAGATGGGAAACGGAAAATATTAAAATATCATAAAGAAGAGTACTCCACGTGTCGGGGACAATACGTACTGAATGACGGTGGGGTGAAGGGCGTTTCGGTTTAGTCTTTATCATATGCGCAGTGGAAATGGGTATCTATTGTTCTTTGTATGTAAAATACATCATTGTAGGTTAAGATAAGTTATAAATAATAATTTGAATTTGAATATTACATTTTCTCATGTTGTGTTATGTTATGTTATCTGATGTCATTAAATTATCTTATGGAAGGAAGGAGATAATGATGTTCATACCCGTATTTTAAACTCTTTCCATGCTCCCAGATGTGCCACTAAGTTTTCAGGCTATTTCCATAGGGACGTTTGTATAGATAACCCCCCGTGTTAAAGGGAAGCTGTATAGTTCTCCAAACGGGGCATTGAGCGACTCATTTTACCTCATTTTATACCTAAATAGTTAGGAAGGTGAACATAGTATTTCAAACCCGTATTTTAAAGTATTTGGATGCGAAAAATGCGAGGCTCCAAGATGTGCCACAAAGTTTTCAGGCTATTTCAATAGGGACGTTTGCGTAGACAGCCCCCAGTCTTAAAGGGAACCTATATAGTGTTACAAAGGAGGTATAGAGCGACTGCTTTACGTTATGTTATATCTAATTAGTAAAGGATGAAGAAAACAGTATTTCAATTCCGTATTTTAAAGTATTTTGATGCAAAAAATGCGAGGCTCCCGGGTGTGCCACTAAGTTTTCAAGCTATTGCCAGAGGGACGCTTGTATAGATCCGCGTGTTAAAGGGAAGCTGTATAGTGTTCAAACGGGGGTATAGAGCGATTCCTTTTCCGTTATGTTACACATAAACAGTTAAGAAGGAGAAAATAATATTTCAAATCCGTATTTTAAAGTAATTTGATGCGAAAATGCGAGGCTCCCAGATGTGCAACTACGTTTTTCAGGCTATTTCAATAGGGACGTTTGCATAGACAGCCCCCAGTGTTAGAGGGAAGCTGTATAGTTCTCCAAAGGGGGTACTGAGCGATACCTCTTACCTCATTTTATACCCAAATAGTTTTGGAAGGAGAAAATAGTATTTCAAATCCGTATTTTAAAGTATTTTGATGCGAAAAATGCGAGGCTCCCAGATGTGCCACAATTTTTTTAGGCTATTTTAATAGGGACGTATGCATAGACAGCCACTGGTGTGTAAGGGAAGCTATATAGTTTTCTAAACGGGTTACAGAACGATTCCGTTTACGTTTCGATTTACCGAAATAGTCGCGGAAGGAGAAAATAGTATTTCAAACCCGTATTTTAAACTATTTCCATGCGAAAAGTGCCAGGCTCACAGATGTGCCACTAAGTTTTCAGGCTATTTCCATAGATACGTTTGCATAGACAGCTCCCCGTCTTAAAGGGAAGCTATATAGTTATCCAAACGGGGTACAGAGCGATTCCTTTTATGTTATTTTATGCCTAAATAGTTATGGAAGGTGAACATATTTTTTTCAAATCAGTTTATAAGTGCACTTAATACACGTGTATGGTGTTATACGCTTCAACGGCTATATCACGGCGTCGGGAATGGGCTTCATTCGAAACATTACCCTGATGAAAGGAATCGAGCTCGGCAGTTTCGGCGTGACGTGCCAAAACTTGATTGAGACACTGATCTACCTTATCGCTAATATGGACATATTTTCTTCACACATATTACATTTACAAATATTACCGCGCACACTGTCGAGACAGGACTTTAACTCATCAGCAACAAGGCGATATCGATTGTGCCGAATGTACTACGATGAATAATAACACTTCTTTGAACTTTGTTTCCATTTACATGTGTTATCATTTGTTATAATATTCCTAATACGGACCCGGCCCTCTGTCTAAATCAGACTAACCTTTGACCTCACAAAAAGTAAAACGTTCATTTCGCCTGGATGTCAAAACAATGACTTAATGAAGTCTAAAGCAGATATTCCACTGCACTACACAATACACATTGAACGCCAAGAGCCCCTTGCATTAATGCGCAATGCGGATGCGATAGGGTAATTCTCTCAAATGTTGGAGGCAAAATGAATTTCAAAGCTTTGTACTTATAGATTGCGGTGTTCTCAGCATTCCAGAGAATTCTGCGCTCGTCCTCACGGTAGACTACACCAAATGCATGGTGATAAATGATGATTGGAGATCTACATTTGTTTGTTTGTTGTTTAACGCCAGACTCACCAGTATTCTAGCTATATGACGGCGTCTGTAAATAATCGAACCTGCAACAGACAATCCAGTGATTGACATCATGAGAATCGATCTACACAATTGGGATACGATGACATACATCAACTAAGTCAGCGAGCCTGACCACCCGATCCCGTTAGTCGCCTTTTACGACATGCATGGGTTGCTGACGACCAATTCTAACACGGCGCTTCATGGGTTAATATTGTTAGTAGACAGACAGACAGACGATAGTTTATTAACGTCTCACTCCTGTACATACATAAAACAGCTTTATACAACTTGACATAGATAAAATGTACAGAACCATTAAATGGAATTATGAGAGACGAATTATCACAGAATTTATACATAAATGATATAAAGATGATATAGTAAAAAGTTATCCATATAAAAGATGTTTTCTACGATTAAGAATTAAAAAGCAGACTTTGGCAAGTATAAAACACACACTGGAGTCACTGAAAATAAAACAAAGTTTGTCGATATCAGGCATATCTAAAACATTATAAGATTTAGCAATACATTCATTAAAAAGATTTGCCCTGATATCATCATATAATGCGCAGTGAAACAAAACATGGACCTCGTCTTCTACGCTGTCATTACAGTGAAAACATTTTCTATTACTGACAGGTACACCTTCGTATCGACCGGTTTCCACTCGAATAGAAGCCACTCCACATCTAAACTTGGCTAGTGCCGATCTATAGTTTCTGGGCATCTTATTTGAAACATAGTATTCTGTCCCATATACTTGTTTGTAACATCGGTACATTCTCAATTTATTAAGCCCATTTCGCCCCTCTTCCTTTCTTAACATATCACTCCAACGGGTAACATATTCATTTTTACACCATTGTCCACCTGTGTACAAACAGAAAATTTATCAATAAAACCTGTAGCGTTTAATAGATGTCCTAAATCCATATTAGTAAACTTCTTTCTTACCCTACCATTCCAATTTTTACAACCATTTACAGCGTATCTATCAGCCCAGTTAAACACGTGTTTGTTTAACCTACTAGACATATTCTTAAGGCGACACCATTGTCTTGCTACACTTTTACACTGTCTGACAACAGCGGGTGACCACGCCTGTATGAACACCACCAAGCCAATAGTCCTTCATTTCCCAATGATCCTCCGTATGCCGGGTGATTGCGTTATCAATTCGAATTACGAATTCCCCGATGTCTAACAATAACATCAAAGAGGGTCGGAATTTGCTCAGTTGAGAAGGCACTGTCTTCATCTGACAGCCTACCTACCCATAAACCTACAAATGTAGGTTTAAAAAAAACATAGCTTAGAAATCATTTTTACGAAATAGGGTTGTTAAAAATACTTAAACAAAAACATCATTAAAATTTCCACTTAAAAAACGATTTTTGTAAATTCTGTTATTGTGATACTGTTGAAGATGACGTTCATTTTCAATCTTACTCTGGTCTTAGATTTTGGGAAAGATGTAGCTTCCCTAGATCTAAATTTGTATACGTAGTAGTTGAAAAGCTTGTACATTAATTTAATGTCAAGTTCTACTTTTCTTAACCCCCTCGCCGCACTTCGATCTGAACTGCATAATTGGCGTCTCAACGACTATAGGAGGTATTTACAGGTTGTTACAATTAGCAATCCCCGTCATTTGAATCGGCCAGATGTTGTATTTTTAGTAATGTATTGGGTATTGTTCGTCATACATGATGTGACACACTAATGCAATATTTTCGCCTTCGTTAACGGTACAAAAGAACTAGAGATGTAATGATGATTTCCACCGATATTGTGCAGTCTTGATCAATTAGAATTGAACTAAAGGGTTTGGCAATGACACTAAGGTCATGTAATTTCGTCTACCGTAAACAACCATTTAATCGACTCAGAATTGATTAAGTATGTAAGTAACTCTTCTGACAAACACTAAATGTATTTTGATATTAAAAAGTACAGAACATTGAAAACATCTCAAGAAGTCGGCGTGAGAGTTCTGGAGACAGATGGTGAGCTGGGGGCGTCCCGTATTTCCACAGCCCTGTAATACGGGATCTGGCGGGGGAGACTTGCCGACAGTCTATGTAACCCAACTCTCCCCTGGGTTCACGATTACTGGCACTTCTTTGTGGCTCCCGGCACACGGCACATTAGTCTGTCTTACAGACCCTGATACAAATATATATCAACTACAGCCCATGCAAGTCTGAAGAGAGTCACTGGGCTCCTTTTTATTATATTTTTATTAAGATAACTGAACAACTGTTTTTTTATGTACGATATGTTCATTTCAGAGACTAGATGTTAGTCTAACCAGAGACCATATAATCTATTATATGGTCTCTGGTCTAACGGCACATAGGAGCCTTCCCCGACTCCCAGCCGGGTCAAGGACACCCCTGTACTGATGTAATATAACGTCTGTCTGGAGTAGTCACGTGGGCAGCCGGGTCAAGGACACCCCTGTACTGATGTAATATAACGTCTGTCTGGAGTAGTCACGTGGGCAGCCGGGTCAAGGACACCCCTGTACTGATGTAATATAACGTCTGTCTGGAGTAGTCACGTGGGCAGCCGGGTCACAGTAATTCCCGAACCGCCTGGCGAGAGAAGAATGTGGTTACGTTAATGAAATAGCTCCTTACTGGATCTGGAGGTCGGGCTGATTGTAAGTCCGCGTGACCCGACAGCGTGCATCGTGGTTTATAATATTTGGATTTATTTCATGGGCGTTTTTTACAGATGAGTGAGTGAGTGAGTGAGTGAGTGAGTTGGGTTTAACGCCGCATTGATGCGCCTAGTTTCAGTACCAAGTTGAGGACAGGATCAATGTTTTCCTTTGTGGTGGTGGGTCGACCCGAGCCGGGCATGTCCCAAACTCTCACACCGGTAAATACGGCACTGTGTCATAACGATTGTGTTCATTCGCCATTGTTTGTTATGTGGTAGATCGTACGTGTACGGGTGACGGAATAAACTGTTAGACCTCAGCATGAGATTAGGTCGATGATTCGACTTGGTTTTTCTGCAATTCAAAACAAGACGCGAACTGCTTGTAGTATGTTCGTTCGGTACACTTTATATAGTAAACAATATGGCTCCTTGTTTCAATCTGTGTGATTTCAAAAGAAATCGCGATATCCTGTGTTTTATAAACGTGCACGAAACATTAAACGCATTTCTCGCACATCAAGCTGACACGCCGTAATATAACTAACATTGCTGTTTAAAGCGGCGTTAAATGTTGTATTTGTGTGTACATGTACACTATATTGTCCATGGCTCACTCACTCCAAGTAGCATGAATGTTTCAATAAATAAAGTATGTACGAGAGAGGAAGAGAGAGAGAGAGAGAGAGAGAGAGAAAGAGAGATAGAGAGGAGAGAGAGACATTGGGAGAGAGAGAGACACAGAGAGAGAGAGGGAGAGAGAGAGGGAGAGAGAGAGAGACAGAGAGAGAGAGAGGGAGAGAGAGAGAGGGAGAGAAACTAGTCATTAATCAGTCTTGCTTTGCTCTGCCAAGTCGCCCACAGCCTTTCATTGCCCCAATAAATCCATCACTCCACACTCAGCGTTCTGGACGTTTCAAGGACCCTTCGCTTTTCAATCGGGGTATATATGTATTCCACGTGATCAAATGACGATATTTCATTAGACCAAAGACGAAAAGACGTCTTTGATAGGAAAATAGACGTATCTTGTTCTTAAAATCGTATTACGGCTGTGGATGATTATCGGTTTAGCGACGCTTTTGTCAAATAGTTATTATTTAAAGCAGGTTTGTATAGTGACAGGTCAACGGCGATTGTGAACGCCTACAGGGATTAAGACTTATGACCTTCACCCACCTGTGGGGACAAGGCAGACCTCTTGGTCAATAACAACGGCATTCCCGATGAATTACCGTTGAATAGATCTTGTCCTGAAACATGTCGAGGCACTGCAGCACGTGGCTATTAGAATATATTTAATATACAGGCGTACTTCCAATTAAAACAAAATGGTACTAATTATGAACAATATTATTTATCATCTACTTCTATTATGATTTGTTATCATACATATAGCTTTCATTGTCATCATAGTAATAACGTAACTTCCCAGGGTAAACTCGAGGTGCAATGTATAGTGTCATAACTGCGTGACAGTGTGACAGATGTGTTACAAGAATGGAAGCAAGCGTGTGGATAGTATATGAAATATTGCAAGCAGTGAACTTTGTCGTGCACCTGTTGACATCACGAGTTGTAAAGCTTTGTTTTCTACTGTTTTCCTGCCTCAAGTCGTGTCCTGTTAATAGGTGACCTTTTCTCACACTTTCACGTAACGACGGGTTAATCCTTCCCTTAACGAACTGTCCGGATACAATATGTTTGTCAGGACAGAAAGGAAAGTTTTCAGATGTAACGATTCAATATAGAGAAACTATTTCTACGCTGAAGTGAATACTTTAGTTTTCAGTACATACCTTCCCCGTCAGCTGTCAAACTTACTGTCGCACCCTGAGGACTCCAAACACCGTCAACTGACACACAACGAGAGAGCACGTACTCGGAGTGTGCCTCGTATAATCTCGTCACAGAATGAGAGTAAACAAGGGTCGTAACCTTTCGAGGTCAGACCAGCAGGGCAAGACTTATGGGCGGGGCGGGTGTGTGTGTGTGTGTGTGTGTGTGTGTGTGTGTGTGTGTGTGTGTGTGTGTGTGTGTGTGTGTGTGTGTGTGTGTGTGTGTGTGTGTGTGTGTGTGTGTGTGTGTGTGTGTGTGTGTGTGTGAGAGAGAGAGAGAGAGAGTGAGTGTATGTGTATGTATGTGGGTGTGAATGTGTGTGTGAATGTATGTGTGAGTGGTTGTATGTGTATGTATGTGTGTGAGTGTATGTGTGACTGTGTGTGTGTGGGTGTGTATGTGTGGGTGTGAATGTGGGTGTGAATGTATGTGTGTGTGAGTGAGTGTATGTGTATGTATATGTGTGTGTGAATGTGTGTGTGAACGTATGTGTGAGTGGGTGTATGTGTATGTATGTGTGACTGTGTGTGTGTATGTGTGTGTATGTGAGTGTATGTGTGACTGTGTGTGTGGGTGTGTATGTGTGGGTGTGAATGTGGATGTGAATGTATGTGTGTGTTAGTGAGTGTATGTGTATGTATATGTGTGTGTGAATGTGTGTGTGAACGTATGTGTGAGTGGGTGTATGTGTATGTATGTGTGACTGTGTGTTTATGTGAGTGTATGTGTGACTGTGTGTGTAATATGTATGTGTGTGTATGTAAGTGTATGTGTATGTCTGTATGTAAGCATGTGTGCGTGTGTGTGTGCATGTATGTATGTATGTGTATGTATTTATGTGTATGTGTGCATGTGTATGTATGTGTGTTTTGTATGCATATGTGTGTATGCATATGTGTGTATGCATGTGTGGATGCATGTTTGTGTATGTATTTGTGTGTTTTGTATGCATGTGTGTGTATGCATGTGTGTATGACCTCTACCTTCTGTTACACATAACCTCAAACATCCGTCAAACGTCACCTCATTCTCTGTCACCCATGAACTCAAACCTCCGTCAAACGTCACCTCAATCCTCTATCACACATGACCGCAAACCTCCGTCAAACGTCACCTCAATCCACTGTCAAACATAACCTCAAACCTCCGTCAAACGTCACTTCAATTCTCTGTCACACATGACCTCAAACCTCCGTCAAACGTCACCTCAATCCTCTATCAAACATGACCTCAAACCTCCGTCAACCGTCACCTTAATCCTCTGTCACACATGACCTCAAACCTTCCCTATAACGTAACCTCCATCCCCTCTTACACCATGACCTCAAACCTCCGTCAAACGTCACACAAACTTCAACATTTTTATAAGGGAATGACAAGGATTCAAACAACTGTTCGGGAACCAAGACACTCTGAACCTCCAGAGTGTCAAGTGACTTTATAAAAATTAAACTTGAGGTGAAATTATATTTATTCAACAATTTCGGAACCGGGTTATATGTGCAAACAAATCTCACCCACATGTAACACAGTCCCACCTGCACGGACAGAGCACCAACTGCACGGACAGAGCGCCACCTACACGGACAGAGCACCAACTGTACGGACAGAGCACCAACCAAACGGACAGAGCACCAACCACACGGACAGAGCACCAACTATACGGACACGGCACCAACTACACGGACAGAGCACCAACTACACGGACAGAGCACCAACTACACGGACAGAGCACCAACTATACGGACAGAGCACCAACTGCACGGACAGAGCACCAACCAAACGGACAGAGCACCAACCACACGGACAGAGCACCAACTATACGGACACGGCACCAACTACACGGACAGAGCACCAACTACACGGACAGAGCACCAACTACACGGACAGAGCACCAACTACATGGACAGAGCACCAACTACGAGGGGCAGAGGGCCAACTACACGGACAGAGCACCAACTACACGGACAGAGCACCAACCACACGGACAGAGCACCAACTATACGCACAGAGCACCAACTACACTGACAGAGCACCAACTTCACGGACAGAGCACCAACTACGGGGACAGAGCACCAACTACGAGGGGCAGAGGGCCAACTACACGGACAGAGCCCCAACTACACGGACAGAGCCCCAACTACACGGACAGAGCGCCAACTATACGGACAGAGCCCCAACTATACGCACAGAGCACCAACTACACTGACAGAGCACCAACTTCACGGACAGAGCACCAACTACGAGGGGCAGAGCACCAACTACACGAACAGAGCACCAACTACACGGACAGAGCGCCAACTACACGGACAGAGCGCCAACTACACGGACAGGGCACCAACTACACGGACAGAGCGCCAACTACACGGACAGAGCGTCGAATGGCTGGGCAGTTGGCTGAAAGTGCCTCGAGCCACCTTCACCAGCCCAATGGCGGCCAATGTGGCCGATCGTGTAATGCCACTGTTGACAGGCCATATCCGGCAGTGTGACCGTGTAATGCCACTGTTGACAAGCCATGTCCGGCAGTGTGACCGTGTAATGCCACTGTTGTCAAGCCATGTCCGGCAGTGTGACCGTGTAATGCCACTGTTGACAGACCATGTCCGGCAGTGTGACCGTGTAATGCCACTGTTGACAGGCCATGTCCGCAGTGTGATCGTGTAATGCCACTGTTGACAGGCCATGTCCGGCAGTGTGACCGTGTAATGCCACTGTTGACAGGCCATGTCCGCAGTGTGACCGTGTAATGCCACTGTTGACAGGCCATGTCCGGCAGTGTGACCGTGTACTGCCACTGTTGACAGGCCATGTCCGGCAGTGTGACCGTGTAATGCCACTGTTAACAGGCCATGTCCGGCAGTGTGACCGTGTACTGCCAGTGTTGACAGGCCATGTCCGGCAGTGTGACCGTGTAATGCCACTGTTGACAGGCCATGTCCGGCAGTGTGACAGTGTAATGCCAGTGTTGACAGGCCATGTCCGGCAGTGTGACCGTGTAATGCCACTGTTGACAGGCCATGTCCGGCAGTGTGATCGTGTAATGCCACTGTTGACAGGCCATGTCCGGCAGTGTGACCGTGTAATGCCACTGTTGACAGGCCATGTCCGGCAGTGTGACCGTGTAATGCCACTGTTGTCAGGCCATGTCCGGCAGTGTGACCGTGTAATGCCACTGTTGACAGGCCATGTCCGGCAGTGTGACCGTGTAATGCCACTGTTGACAGGCCATGTCCGGCAGTGTGACCGTGTAATGCCACTGTTGACAGGCCATGTCCGGCAGTGTGACCGTGTAATGCCACTGTTGTCAGGCCATGTCCGGCAGTGTGACAGTGTAATGCCACTGTTGACAGGCCATGTCCGGCAGTGTGACCGTGTAATGCCACTGTTGACAGGTCATGTCCGGCAGTGTGACCGTGTAATGCCACTGTTGACAGGCCATGTCCGGCAGTGTGACCGTGTAATGCCACTGTTGACAGGCCATGTCCGGCAGTGTGACCGTGTAATGCCACTGTTGTCAGGCCATGTCCGGCAGTGTGACAGTGTAATGCCACTGTTGACAGGTCATGTCCGGCAGTGTGACCGTGTAATGCCACTGTTGACAGGTCATGTCCGGCAGTGTGACCGTGTAATGCCACTGTTGTCAGGCCATGTCCGGCAGTGTGACAGTGTAATGCCACTGTTGACAGGCCATGTCCGGCAGTGTGACAGTGTAATGCCCCTGTTGTCAGGTCATGTCCGGCAGTGTGACCGTGTAATAACACTGTTGACAGGCCATGTCCGGCAGTGTACCATCCTCGCTGCTGTGTTGACATAAACTTCTACCTGGTACTACCCCCGGTGCTGTGTTGACATAAACTCCTACCTGGTACCGCTTCGTCGCTGTGCTAACATAGGCACCTATCTTCTACCACCCTCGCTGCTGTGTTAACATAAACTCCTACCTTGTACCACCCCGCTGCTGCTCAGTTCAGTCTCATCTGAGAAGCATTGAGACACGATAACCCGCGAACAGCTGTATCACAGAATCACACAGCCTACCATCGGTTCAGTCTCATCTGAGAAGCATTGAGACACGATAACCCGCGAACAGCTGTATCACAGAATCACACAGCCTACCATCGGTTCAGTCTCATCTGAGAAGCATTGAGACACGATAACCCACAGACAGCTGTATCACAAAATCACACAGCCTACCATCGGTTCAGTCTTATCTGAGAAGCATTGAGACATGATAACCCGCAAACAGCTGTATCACAGAATCACACAGCCTGCCATCAGTACAGTCTTTTCTGAGAAGCATTGAGACACGATAACCCGCAAACAGCTGTATCACAGAATCACATAGCCTACCATCAGTACAGTCTTATCTGAGAATCATTGAGACACGATAACCCGCAAACAGCTGTATCACAGAATCACATAGCCTACCATCAGTACAGTCTTATCTGAGTAGCATTGAGACACGATAACCCGATTTATCGATTTAATAATTTACTCTGTGGTTTGTTGTTTTATAGTGAAGGATCGGCATTAATAGTCGCGTAGTAGAACTGTGGATGAATGTCACCAACATGCACGTCTCCAACAACGATGTCACCAACATGCACGTCTCAAACAACGATGTCACCAACATGCACGTCTCCAACAACGATGTCACCAACATGCACGTCTCCAACAACGATGTCACCAACATGCACGTCTCCAACAACGATGTCACCAACATGCACGTCTCCAACAACAATGTCACCAACATGCACGTCCAAATGACGATGTCACCAATATGAACGTCTCAATGGCGATGTCGCCAACATGAATGTCTCCAACAACGATGTCGCCAACATGCACGTTTCCAATGACGATGCCGTTAATACCCTGCTGGTTCTCCCCCTTTCCTGACGTCGGCGACGGCATGAAGCAGTCCCCCGGTCACGTGGATCGCCGACACTACTGACGCAGCCGTGTTCATGTCTATGTCTATTTCACGACCTTTGGCCTTTAACCCGTCTATGATATCCTGAAAGAAGGCAGGTATATAATGTATTAGTCAGATATATTTTCCTTACACAAAACAACAACACAAATAATTGGTAGCTAATTCATGAACGTTCACGGTTTAAACCTAACATGTTAAACCAAATGGCAGGACTGTGTTCTTTACTATAGAAGGGTTAGGAGCGTCTAGACAAGGTCAAATGTATTTATATAAGATAGCTACGCGATAAATCCCAAAGAACAATGAAGAACGAAGCATGGTCTATTTAAGAAATGCACGAGTTGGGAGTTGTCTATCGTACAATAAAACACTGCAGTGTTTTATCATGAAATGACGTCACATATTGGACGACGTTATTTTTGAGGGGGGAAGTGACCGGTAAGTTGTTCCCTACAGATGTATCTTGGCTACGCAGATAAACGCAATGGCCGAATAATCGCATCCAAAGGTGGGAGAGATATGACAATCGGTATTAGGTGAAAAAATACAGTTATAGACGGAGGATTGTGAGAAAATGCGGGAAATACCAAACCTAACCAACCTGTTGGTAAAATGGACTTGTCCGACATTTCTTCTAATCCTAGCCCTGGGAGGACAGCAAACTAAAACGGTCTGATATCTCAGAGACGTGACACTGACAAGCAAAGTTGCCCAACTTTGCGGCAATTGACCTATTTACATGAGAAAAACCTCTCTCAATACGTATTTGCTTCGGCAATGACTGGTGATGTAGACGCTTGTGATCAACTGCATCTGCTATCGGCACCCCCATCCTCAAGGCAAACATCGCCACCTGGCGGCGAGACAAGCAAACAGACTCTTTTAGTGATATCTGACAGGAACTGAGACAGAATGTTCGGCCATGTTTGACTTAAGCGTGGGGATGTCCGCCGGGCTGGATTAAGAGTATTGAACTTTGAACTCCGAGATAGGAATTTAGATAACCTGTCATGTGTTTTAACTGTCCAAGAGTTAGGGTTAAGTGTGCATTTTATTGCGCCAGGCACACTTATTACTCCGGCGCCAGATTCACACTTTGTATACCGGCATTGAGAAAAAATCTATAATTATATTATTCAAATAAATATATAATTCATAGTATTTACTTGTATATGAACATTTTACCACATATGGATGAGACGTCAAAACATCATTATGTTAGGCTTCCATTCGTCTTGGAAATACCTATCGTAGATAAATTTGAACATGTTTAATACCAGAGGACATCCTGAATACATACACACGGTCTCGCGAAATGTCCACCAAAAAAGGTTCAAAGTTGATTAGTGTCATCGTGAGAATGTCTAGACTATGAAGTGCGTCTAACAATAAAAATAATTATGTTTAACAACTGTCTGTGTTCACACCCATAATAATTCCTTAAAAATACCTTCAACATCTTGTGTGGATTTCGTTCAATTGTTTATGCAAACAGTTATAAAAATACTTTCAACATTTGGCGCGGATTTCGTTCAATTGTTTGTACATACAATTATAAAAATACCTTCAACGTTTTGTGTGGATTTCGTTCCATTGTTTATGCAAACAGTTGCAAAATTTGTTTGTATGTACAATTATAGAAATATTTTCAACATTTTGTATGGATTTAGTTCACCTGCCCGTGTAAACAATGATATAAATACCTTCAACATTTTGTGTGGATTTCGTGCAATTGTCTTTCTATACAATTTAAATATAGACATTCAACATTTGGAGTTGATTTAATGCTATTGTTTGTCTGCGTGGATTAAGTTCAATTGTTTATACTAACTAAAGCCACTGATGTGGTGATTCTGGTCCCACCGGAAGCACCTATCGTCATGACAACATCACCGGAAGTCTGGTTGACGATGATTGACGGGCACATAGAGGACATAAACTTAAATTTAAACTGGGCCATCAAATCGTTGAGGTAGTGGACTCCTACTCCTATCTTGGAGTAGTACTAATGAGGACTGGATCTTTTAAGGCCGCTGTCAATACACTGAGAGGAAAGGCCATGCGAGCATGGTATAAGATAAAAAGTTCACTGAAATCAACTTCTCATCTCCCAGCAGACATTCTCATTCGCTTGTATAATGTCTTAATTGTACCCATTGCGTCCTATGGAACCGACGTATGGGGCTGCAGTCTTCTAAGACCCTCACATGAAATGTATCAAAATTGGTCAAAACAACTATGTAATGAGATCACTATCAAAATAGCAAAACAGATTCTAGGAGTACCAAAAAAGTCGAGTAATATTGGATGCCTCAGTGAATTAGGAATGTACCCTCTTACTTTACAAATATATATGTCCATGTATAGATATTACCAGCGCCTGAGACGCTTGGAAGGTGACAGGCTCTTATTCGATGCGTACCAGGAGGATATTCTCTTGGCCTCACAAAAAATGTCCTGGACATCCTCGATCAAATATATGATGGCACACCTACTTCCCCAATCCAACAGTGAAAATGCCCCTTGCTCAAAATTCTATGAAGCTCTTCAAACAAAATTTAGAAATATATTTCTCATTGAAAGTGACCAAGTAAACACTGATAACTCCCACAAACTTAGGCATCTAGGACTTATTAAAGATAAATTTGAACTTAAGAAGTATGTTTCAGCTGTAAAATGTAAAGATCATAGATTAGCTTTAACCAAATTAAGACTCAGTTGCCATAATCTGGAGATTGAAAGAGGCCGATACACTAACACGCCTGTCGACCAGAGAATATGTAAATTATGTAACCTAAATAAGATAGAAGATGAGAAACACTTCCTTTTGTACTGTCCAAATTAACAGAACGAAAGGCAGATACTTCTTCGAACACTAGACCTCCAAATCTGCCAAAATGATAATAAAATCCTAGCAAATATCCTGAACCCCTGTCCAGAAAGAGCAAAATATGTTTCACAAACTATCTCCGACATGTTTATTAAAAGAACCTCTCTTATAGACAACATCAAGTCATGACCTTATGATTATTATTATGTCTTATCCGTACAGTATCAGCATCATTAAAGTACACGCTGCCAGCCACCTCATGATATATATATATAAATGTTTATACACTATGAATGAAATAATATGTAATATTTATATATATAATGTACATTATGTATATATACCTCTCATGTTGATAGTTATATTTATTCCATATGTAGATAGTTTGTACCCTGCCCTACGAGGGTGTTCCGTACAATAAAATTCTTGATTCTTGATTCTTGATTCTAGAGGACTGGGGGCGTTTCCTGGGTTTGATGAAGTTGGCTTCAGAGGCAGGGACGCCGAATTGATTGATGATGCCTGGTGTTGAGAAGTCGTCCATTTCATTATTGAAGGTAATCCCGGTTCTACGTCCGCGAATTTTGGAACCAAAACTGCGTGAAATTACAAAATACTGTTAAAATACAAAACCAAATGAATGCTGTCTGATTTCACACTTAAGGTCATCTGTTTGTTTGTTTGTTGTTTAACACCGCACTCAGCAACATTCCAGCTATATGATGGCGGTCTGTAAAATAATCGAGTCTGGACCAGACAATCTAGTGATTGACATCATGAGCATCGATCCACCCAATTGGGATCGACCAAGTCAGTGAGCCTGACCACCCTGTCCAGTTAGTCCCCTTTTACAGCAGGTATGGGTTGCTGAAGACCTATTCTAGCCCGGAATCTTCACGGGTCGTAAGGCGAGATTGTCGGTGTCGGTGTGAGGTTAGTTGATCTCAATGTGTTGCGTGTAACGTGTAGGGCTGACGTTGTTTACAGTTATGAGATAGTCGTCTTCAACCCATTTCTCTACGATTTTGTCGTATTTGCACGAATCGTTCCTGTCTTCCCATAAAGGACTGTGGGCATCAAAGTCACCAAGGATTATCCCATTTTTGACTACAACACTGAACAACAAAAGTTCCTGTGACATTGAATACGATTTAATGCAAAGTTATGTTTTTCACCAAATCTGAAACAAATTCGGTTTGCAAAAGATAAAAGACTCCTGTAAGTGTTCAAATGGTTTAATTTGGCATACTGACTTCAGAAAATACATGATTGCATTAAAAAACATGAACATGCCAAAATGTCAATTTACAAATCAATAGCGTATGTGTCCACCTCTGGTTACGATGCAAGAAACACATGGAATGGACCAGGCGTCGCACAAAGTCCTGTGGGATATCTGTCCATATCTGCTGGAGCATGTTTCGAAGTTCCTGGAGTGTCTGTGGAACACGTGGTTGACGTCGAAGGTGCCAATCCATCTCATCCCACGTGTGCTGGGTTGGTGAGAGATCACGGGAGCGAGCCGGCCAGGGAATGACATTCACGTTGTTTTGTTGAAGAGAATCCTGAATAGTGTAGGCCCTTGATTCATATCTGGAGATTATCCCACACCCACGCTTCAGACCATTTCTATGAATTTTGTGGGGGTATGGCACAGGTACAGATATGTCATTACGGGCAGGGTGATTAACAATCTCTACCATTTTTTCTAGATTCACTTCTTTATTAGCTCGTACGTTAAGCGTGAAGCCTCTTATTTTACAAATAGTGCGTACACCTTTTTTATCTGCATGGTGGAGCTTGTAAGCATAATTCTTCGGCCCACATGTGGTAAATTCGTCAATCCAGTTGCCCTCCTCTATCTCGTCTGTCCATTCTCCCACAGAATCGCCGATGGTTGGGCAGGGTTCACCCTCTTTGTGCACATATATTATGCTATCTGTATCAAAGTACAGGCACCGGTCTCCCAAAGGTTGTATACCACTGTACAGTTTTAATCGGGCCTGAGCTGTCACCCAGCTTGCTATGGCAACATTGCTGGCACCGTGGGGTTTGACAGACTGGCTTGTTGTAGCATAAGTGATGAGCAGCACATCCTCGTTTATTTAACTGATGTCTTTCACCTCTATGTCAGCATTCCGGAGAATATTGTAGAACTCCGGAAGGTCTGAAACAAACACGTTCGTGTCCATGTTATTGCGCTGAGATAACTTTCCCCACAAATTATTTAGAAGGGACTTGCTGATGGCTCTTTTTCCTGGATTGGGTGCAATTTGAGAGGCGTCAAGCATGACACCCTCCTTTCTGAATACTTCGTGTACATACTGCTGCTTTATTTTGCTCTGTATCGCAGTGCACGAGATAGCCTGACGATTCCTGCTCCATTTTAAAGAAAGCATCTACATACCCTGTAAACAACCCCCCTTGAGCTGTGTGCGGGTCATATTGCTCAAAACTATCAAAATGCCAGGCATCATATATTTTCAATACCCTGTAGCCACAGTCTCGAACAGCATGATGTAGTTCCACAGTAGCATATGTTGATGTCCAACTCCGCTGATCGTCGTCATGGGGACAGGGGCCAGCACTATAGCCTGTATCAGCACACGTTCGGCACAGGGGGAAGTACAGCTTATCATTTGTGCGGTATGGTAATACCGGGTGGTGCAAGTCACCTGGTGGAAGAACCCTGCACTGCATCATGCCATGGATGTCAAATAGCTGCTCTATGGGGGGTGCATACAGTACCGGGGGGTGGCCTGTTGGGAAACGCCCATACTTGCATATGTACGGGTATAGAGAACATACATCAACATATTTGACTTTTTCCCCTTCGGTACACTTTCTGTGTAAAGACACACCATTTGTCCAACCTCCATTAAACTCGTATCTAGGGTCGAGAGGAGGTGTGAAGGAACCTGGGGGGTGCATACAGTACCGGGGGGTGGCCTGTTGGGAAACGCCCATACTTGCATATGTACGGGTATAGAGAACATACATCAACATATTTGACTTTTTCCCCTTCGGCACACTTTCTGTGTAAAGACACACCATTTGTCCAACCTCCATTAAACTCGTATCTAGGGTCGAGAGGAGGTGTGAAGGAACCTGGGGGGTGCATACAGTACCGGGGGGTGGCCTGTTGGGAAACGCCCATACTTGCATATGTACGGGTATAGAGAACATACATCAACATATTTGACTTTTTCCCCTTCGGCACACTTTCTGTGTAAAGACACACCATTTGTCCAACCTCCATTAAACTCGTATCTAGGGTCGAGAGGAGGTGTGAAGGAACCTGGGGGGTGCATACAGTACCGGGGGGTGGCCTGTTGGGAAACGCCCATACTTGCATATGTACGGGTATAGAGAACATACATCAACATATTTGACTTTTTCCCCTTCGGCACACTTTCTGTGTAAAGACACACCATTTGTCCAACCTCCATTAAACTCGTATCTAGGGTCGAGAGGGGGTGTGAAGGAACCTGCATCATCAACTCCGCCGCTTTGCCGCCCCATGTTTTTGACAAACTCCCCTAACTTTGCATCAGTTTTCTGCATTTTCTTAAAATCGCACTCCCACAGAGCAACAACGTCTCGAACATGTGGATGTTGGCGTATGAAATTCAGCCGATACATTTTCCAGTCATGACGTTCCCTGGGCGTTGTACCTAATGAGAAATTAGAACGCCCTTACTGCCGGAAAAACATTTACGGCAACCGTGAAAATAGCAGCCCAAGAATGAATAAACAACATGATTGTGCATATCATACCCGTCAACAGCGAAATTGTGACTGCCGCAATTAAGCTTCAGTTCCCCTCCCAGAGCGTCTGTCGTAGGTGTGTTGTAGGAAACCAGGTATTACAAGAAAGGCAGTTCTTCCCAAACCCCTCCCACCCCCGACAGTAGCCACTATGTTGACATTTACCACATTTGAACTCGGCAAAGCAAGGGTGTGTTTCAGCACTAGTATTAAAACCCTTGTTACAGATTTCACAATAATCCTGTGTGTCATAAATCCCTTTTGGTGTAGAAACATAATGTTTGCCATGGTAAAGCAGACGTAGCACAGGCACATCGGCTGTAACTACGCCCTGGTACAGTATTGGAGGGTGCGCATTAACAAGCTTGTGAATGTTTAGTTGAGCTGTGTTTTGGAGATAGCTTTGAAATGCATCCCATGTCTCGCGCCCTTGACAAGGTGCCCTGGGTATTCCAGCCTTATATGTAAATCTATTGCATGCAGTCTTTGCAGACAGCACTTTTCTTTGCTGTAGTTCTTTCCCACTCTTTCCCACTCTAGGCGTAAGTGCTCCGGGTCGTCACCAGACGGTCTACCTATATCATGTAGACCGGTGACGATAGCTCGGGCAAAGCAGAGGTCGTCGTTCTTTCTTACTTGAACAATAGACCTTTTCTTGAGTAAGAAGTTGTCCAGTGTTACAGATTTTTTGGCGTCAGCCGACCACAGCCGAACCCGACCCCGTCCGGATTCGCCACGTGAAGAATGTTCATATCCATACCGCCATCAGGTTGAAAGTCCTTCTTGGACTGGCTCACTTTATCCATAGCAGCAATAATGGAATTACCATTTACTGCCTCTAGCCTGTTGAAGGGTACGTGTATTGGGGCATCCAGAGCAGGATGCTGTATGTGTAAGCCTAATCTGTCCCCGTCATGACCACCTGCAAAGAAACAAATGTCTGCAATAGGACAGTGTGCAATGGTATGAATGCATGGCGCATTACATATGTGAGCTGATTATACACGTGTTTGACATATGAAAGTTACTGTAATATTAATAGCATGTGCTTACAACACTGTGATAGGGCGGGAGGGAGAGACGGAGTTTTTTATGTAACTTACCAACATTTAAGACATCATCAAACACTGCTGCTAACGCCTGCTGTGGGTTTTGCAGAGGAATATTGTCCGTGTGCAGACATAGGGAGAAACGATGAGTAGCTGTTTTAATTTTTTTGCTAACCACGGAATCCTGTGGTTCGAGTGTGTAGGCTGCTGTACTATGTGCGCCCACACCATCGCCGGCCCTTCCATGCTGAACTGCCGAATTGCAGCTGCGGTTCATAAAACACATTAGCTATGTTCATCAACTCATCTCTCATTTGGCTGTCCGCCACTTCTTCCACAACATCCACATTACCCTGCAGAATATGCTGTAAAGTATCTGCCCACTGCGTTCTGATTTCACCATGTGCAGTTTCTCCTACCTGCATAGGTTTGGCTAATAATTCCTGCTCTATAGCGGGATCGTTGATGATATTCAAAAAACGCAGCTTGTAGTGTTGGTGGGAGAATGGTATTGTCATCATCATCATCATCATCATCATCATCATCATCATCATAATCAGCAGCAGCAGCAGCAGCAGCAGCAGCAACATCATGATCATGTTGGGCATACGAGGTTGAAGGCTGTGAGAGCAAGGTATATTTTACTGTTTTTTAGAATAATAATTATTACCTGTGTACAATGTAAGTGTACATGGGAAAGTAGGTTTGGCGACAAAGGTGTTTATTGGTAGGTATGCAGAGTAGGTATTTGGGTGGGCGGAGATTTGAGTAGCAATGGGTGTATTGGGTAGGTGTGGCACCAGGGTATATACACCCTGCACTCGATATATAATTGCACTTTTGACTGGAAAGCAGATTTCAGAAACACTGGTTGTTTGATGGGTGTATAACTGCAGCAGTTTGCGGCATGGTAGTGACCTATATAGGAATATTCACAGCACAGTGTCATGCGCAGTTGTGTATTGAGGCTGTGAACTGACTTGGGTGCTCCCATGCCCAGTCATTTCAAGAAACTTGCAGTTTGGAGTTTTGGCTATGCTCGTTTAATGGCTCGTCACCGCGTGCCCAATCCTTAAGTTTAACGTGGCACGCAAAGCAGATGACTTTGTCAGAGGTACCGCTATAGTAGAACCCAGCGCTTAAAAGACCTGAACCTTGTTTGGTAGGAGGACATAGAGCTATTGAAATCCGTACCTGCTGGCATGCTATCTGTGCACGTATACATGTTGATGCAAAACACGTTGCAGGAAGAAAAACAAAACGTGGAAGCAAAATCTTTTATACCTTCTGGAGGCGATGTGTTGCGTTTTTTTTATTTGCTTTTCTGACACGTTGCCGAAATGTGCACGTAATGTTGCTGGATTTACCATTTACTCAGTAACATGTTTTGCATAGTTAAATGACATGAATAGAGTCAGACAGGTGTGATTTGTTGATATGTCTGATGCGACACTGCTATTTCTCCAGTTAAATACCGTCTGACACTGAGCAGGTGAGAGGAAGTGAAAGGTGTCAGGTAATTATATTAGTCTTGTGCACCGTTAAACTGTGCGAGACTGGACATTATGGGACTATGTGTAAGTACATAATTACCGCATGTGTTTGGAGAATGACACTGACATGGTAAACCCTTCTGTTAACAGATGCTAAATCAAAAACCGCTGATGGGTTTATGTACATAGGTATATACCAATTTGTTAGCGGGTGGTAAACTATTGTAATAAGATATGTAGTGGCACTGTTTAAAACTACTGGGGTGGCATGTTTATGGATTAGTGGAGATTAAAAGATAATTGGGGTGGCATGTTTATGGATTAGTGAAGATTAAAAGATAACAAAATCAGCATGTGGTAGTTTGATAAATCACTTTTTAATGAGGCAGATGTACAGGGTGATGGGTTACGTAATAGTTCGACCAAGTGGTAATCTTACTGCTAACGGGATACTTTATACTGAAACAATAGAGTTTGTCAAGGTGTAAGAAGAATTCGGTGAAAAGCGTGCCAGAGAAAAGACAGGTGCAGCATGTATACAACCGAAGTCATGGCATGTAAGATTGAACACCCCTTTATCAACTGCCCCGGTGGCTCAGAGGGAAAATAGTTGCTTACAATGCTATGTTAGACGTTGCAGGTTCGATTCACGTGAAAATGATTTGTGACTCTTTCCCGGTCAAAAATTAGACACATATGAAAAGGCTGTCTGTAAAACCTGTGTCTTACAATTCAATTGGGTAATATTGCTGGCTAATGCAATTGACCGGGCAATCTAACAAAGTAACAGTTGCTGCTTCTTTTTAAGTTCTGAAACCCTTAGTATTCTAAAACTAAGGTACTCACAATGTATTTATCGCGGCCGTTATGGTAACAGCGTTGCCCTCGGCGTCGATGATGCAGGCGTTGGACGTCCCCGTCTTTGTCTGGTCGTAGAACGTCGCCCCGTAATAGTCGGTGTCGTGCGTGACGCTGTCCGTGATGCTGCCTCGGATGTAGTCGCCAAAGTCACGCGACGTCATATTTCTAACCAGCTGTGTGAGCGAATGAGTGAGTTCACATTTAACGTCGTTCGGAATAGTTCCTCCATTTAAGGAGTTCCGGGATAGTTCCTCCATTTAAGGAGTTCCGGAATAGTTCCTCCATTTAAGGTGTTCCGGGGTCGTTCCTCCAATGAAGGAGTTCCGGGATAGTTCCTCCATTTAAGGTGTTCCGGAGTCGTTCCTCCATTTAAGGAGCTCCGGAGTCGTTCCTCCATTTAAGGAGCTCCTGGGTCGTTCCTCCATTTAAGGAGTTCCGGAATAGTTCCTCAATTTAAGGCGCTCCGGAGTCGTTCCTCCATTCAAGGAGTTCCTGGGTCGTTTAGTGCCAAAATACTCTTAATTATTTACTTTCATGTCATTACTAATCTCACATAAGGTCAAAAGTTGTACAACGTTTAACAGATATGATTATGACATGTTGTATCCAAACATTTCCAAACAAATCCAACCAAATCCAAGCTTGGAAATATGACCTTGCCAAATATTGGAATGGTGGTATTTCCAAGTTTTGGATTTTTTGGACTGGATGATATTTTGTCCAGTGATGTATGTTTTCTGGTGGTCATAGTGAAACAATAACATACGGCGCCCGAGTTGCGAGTGATCGAAAATAGGTTTGTTGAATAGATTTGCTGCCCATGAAAACGTTTCAACAATTTTGATTACTTTTGGGTGGTATTACGTTAGTATAATCTTGTTAATTATTAAGAAATAATAATGATGCCCGATATTGAGCGATGTCAATTTGAGAATTGTTAGGGCTGTTTAGCGATCTTTCACATTTTGTCCTTTGAAAATGTACGATGTCAATTACCCCGAAGTTGTTTTTTATCACTAATAAAAGAGCCCGGTCATTGAAACATACATGGACGTAACCGGGATTTCTTCAAGATATACATTCCAAACTGTCATTCGTTTTGTGACATAATCTTTGAAACTGTCTGCGTATGAATTAATCACGACCACTTCCGTCAATTTTGTTTTGACGTCAAAAACACGCACAATTTCATCGGGATTTTTTATCGGTAAATATAACTCACGAAAAATTTGCAGTGAATGTGTACTTCAACATAAATATCATATGTCTATCACTGTTAGGACATGTACTTACCAATGATATGAATTATTGGTCATTTAGATTTCAAACAAGGGCGCTTACTTGACTTTGGTTGCCGTATTCGGGTGCGTCCATATTACGATTAATGTGGAAAAGTAGGAAACTTATAATAACAGCACTTTTATCGATGGCTAGGCAGTGCATAGATCTTTTGGATTTGGTGACTTTAGATACTGTAGGAAAGACAATCAACTCGAGTTGCATGTTATACAATTTGGTTACACTGTGTGAAGAAATAAAGACGTTGCAACACTTTTGATACAATGTATACGTTTTTGTAACCGCGACGTCAGCATAGTGCGGCACTGAGCGGTTTGCAGGCTGACTGACGTCCAGGCACCGTGTTTGTGTGACAGTGGTGTAACGATCACACTGACAAAAAGAATCATTCTTTAAGGTAATATATCTTAAAGCAGACCAAAAACTTTGTCATGATCAGTGATATTTTTTCGCGGCAATCGATGTGTCCGCCTGTAGGAGTTATTGCCCTTTATCGCCATGGCTGGCTCAACACAATGATACATGATACAGTACAAAACGAACACGCTTACAACGAACTGACTGACATAACTTATTTTCTTGGTCACAGCCATTTGCTGTATTCATGTTGTATATATACTTATAACGAACTACGGTTATAACGAACTATGTATGTACCATCCTAAAACAAACTCGCTTGCTAACCTCTATGTATATGCATATTAGCCTTTGATCACGACCATAAGCAAATGTGACATTGAAACCACAGATAGTGAAAGGATACATGGACTTAAAGAATGGAACATTTTCACTGCAAGTTAAGGTATTTTATTCTGCTATTTTTTCCGGGGCGGAACTAAATTTTGGAACAAAAACATGCTTCTTCCCAGCAACCTATGCTTGTCATACGTGGCGACTTAATGGATGGTGATGCTTGGCTGATTGGACGTCCTTTGCAGAATTGATATTCTGATTGGTCTGCGTGATCCAGATGGAATAGTGCTGACTGTGATGTTCACCACTCATACTACAAGACAATTGTTGCATTGTTTCTTTGTTTGTTGTTTAACGCCGCACTCAGCAATATACCTCGCAATTGGGATGTGATGACATTCATCAAACCAAGTCAGCGAGCCTGAACACCCGATCCCGTTAGTCTTCTCTCACGACAAGCGTTGTCGCCTTTTACGGCAAGCATTGCTGAAGACCTATTCTACCCCGGATCTCAACGGACATACTACAAGAGAAGGATATGATACGTGTCTTGTGTGTAATTGCGCGATGTACAACGTTGATGTGATGACGGGGTCAGAGAAGGCGTAAACGACGTTAGGATCTTGGCTCACCCAGAACACTATGAGGAACTTGCGGCGGAACACAACGTCTGTTTCGCCTCGCCCCCAGCCTCGTTGCCATGCAGTTTCTGTAGTTTGACGCAGATTTATGAACCTTCTTTCCTTTTCACAAACATTTCTCGTATGTTCCCATCAGTGTGTGGTCCAGCGCTTGAAGCAGAAGACTGGGTTCGATTCTCTTTATCGGAATGAAGCCACCCTGTGACATGGTGACTGCTCAACCCGTCATGCTCGTCATACATTGAAGACGTATTGTTGAAGATTGTCGACGTATTTGTATTTTCCCACTTCTCAAAATGAAGGTGATATTAAAACTGCCCCTAGCACATATAATCCAACTCGGAACTCGTTGAAGTTGCCGTTTCTGGCGTCACAGCTCGGTGGCAAAGCGGGCATTGAGAAACATGTGTATATTTTATGTCCGGTTCAGATACTTCTGTCTGCTGGGAACACAAAGACATCACACCCAGAACTTCCTCACCAGCAAATCCTGACGAAGGACAGTGAGGACTTTGCTGCATTGTCTGTCGACTTTACAAAACGAAACAAAAAAGCGACAAATCGACAACTCGACATTTTCGCCCAAAAGAATATACTGAATAATATGTTTGTGTGTTTGTTTGTTTGTTTGTTGTTTATCGCCACACTCAGCAATATTCCAGCTGTATGACGGCGGTCTGTAAATAATCGGGTCTGGACCAGACAATCCAGTGATTGACATCTTGAGCATCGATCCACCCAACTGGGATACGATGACATGCATCAACCACGTCAGCGAGCCTGACCACCCGATCCTGTTAGTCGCCTCTTCTGAGGTTATAGGGGGCGGTCGGGTAGCCTAGTGGTTAAAGCGTTCGCTCGTCACGCCGAAGACCCAGGTTCGATTCCCGACATGGGTACAATGTGTGAAGCCCATTTCTGGTGTCCCCCGCCGTGATATTGCTGGAATATTGCTAAAAGCGGCGTAAAACCATACACACTCACTCACTCACTCCACTGAGGTTATAGTCGCCTTTTACGGCAAGCATGGGTTGCTGAAGACCTATTCCAACCCGGATCTACACGGGTTTTGAATAATATGTAATTGTTTATGTTGTTATCCAAAATGCTTGAAGATCCGGGGTAGAATAGGTCTTCAGCAACCAATGCTTGCCGTAAGAAGGCGACTATGCTTGTTGAAAGAGGCGACTTACGGGATCGGGTGGTGAGTCTCGCTGACTTGGTTGATGCATGTCATCGCATTCCAAATGCGTTAAACAACAAACACACAAACACAAAACAAAAACAAAAGCAGGGACCATGCAGTTCAGTGGTTTGACCGGAACACCTCGAAAATGACTGGAAAACTATTACTGTGTTACACACGTCATTGTTACACAATCCTTTCAACCAAGGAATTCGCTCCGTCCGTCTGTCCGTTCGTCCTTCCGAGGACATTTTCTTGTGCGACCTATAAATTTAAATTTGGTGAACACATTTTAAACCTGAAGGAGAGATGCAGTGAGAAGTTTGATTTCAATATTTAGATTTTCTAAAAAAATACAGATTTTTTCACTTTTTCACTTAGAAACATTTGTGCCACCTATAACTTGAAAACTGCAGTATGGATTCTTTCCAAATTTAGGGAACTGTTTCCATGATAATAGAAGAGGTGCAGTGCAAAGTTTGATTTTGATATGTGTACCTTCTGGAGAAATGTGAAACGTTTTTAACGTTGTGAACTTTGAAATTGTTTTTACTTCAACTGTTGTGAGAGCTATGGCTTGAAAACTACTTCATGGGTTCTTTTCCAATAGGAGAGGTGCAGTTCACATTGTTTTACTCAAAATTACTTAGGGTAGTGTTTCGATACCATTTGGAGAGGTACAGTACAAAGTTTGATTTCGATAAGTGGATAATCTGCAAAATTATTGCTTTATTTCATGTTTTTGTAACTTTGAAATATGTTGGCGTCGAAGTCGGGGAAATTAGTGAGCTTGTGTCACGCTTGCATTGTATCACGCTTCCTTTGTGTCTCGCTTGCATTGTATCTCGCTTCCATTGTGTCTCGCTTCCATTGTGTCTCGCTTGCATTGTGTCTCGCTTCCATTGTGTCTCGCTTCCATTGTGTCTCGCTTGCATTGTGTCTCGCTTGCATTGTGTCTCGCTTGCATTGTGCCACGCTTGCAGTCACGCTTGCATTATTCTGCCATGCTTTCATTGTCTCTCTTGCATTGTGTCACGCTTGCATTGTATCACGCTTCCATTGTGTCACGCTTCCTTTGTGTCTCGCTTCCATTGTGTCTCGCTTCTATTGTGTCTTGCTTCCATTGTGTCTCGCTTCCATTGTGTCTCGCTTCCATTGTGTCTCGCTTCCACTGTGTCTCGCTTGCATTGTGTCTCGCGTGACATTGTGTCTCGCTTGCATTGTGTCTCGCTTGCATTGTGTCTCGCTTGCATTGTGCCACGCTTGCAGTCACGCTTGCATTATTCTGCCATGCTTTCATTGTCTCTCTTGCATTGTGTCACGCTTGCATTGTATCACGCTTCCATTGTGTCTCGCTTCAATTGTGTCTCGCTTCAATTGTGTCTCGCTTCAATTGTGTCTCGCTT